CAACCAACTACAGTATACTCACAAACAACATTACCATCATGACAGCTTAATCTCATTATGTCTGCCTTAATCTCCTCTTAATCCATCCACATGTCAGAAAAAAAAAATTATTATATGAGATAAATTCTCAATCTCATAACCATCACACCTCTGTAAAATAAAGTAAACGCATTCAGCCTGAAAACACTATTAAAATGAAATTCCAAATTCAAGAAAGACGTACGTTGTCCATGAGGCGAGATCCTAACCCTAATCCTAACCCACAAACTTCACAACTTTGCATAAACTTACCTTCGATGTTTTTACTTTTCTACAAAATTAAACTTTAAAACTTTATAGAAACCAAACCGGGTTTTTACAGAGTCTTACAGTGTCTTATAGAGTTTTACGGAGTCTTCACATTCTTCAGAAACCATTTTCTCTTCTAAAATGTCTCTAACTCTTCAATTTTCATTAATTTGAAGTGCCTGCATTAAGAACTTGTAAATGTTGGATATAAATGTTGGATGTAAATGTTACATTTGTAAATGAAAATGTAAATTTTGGGTGATCCTGATGTGATGGGTGGATGGCGGATGGTGACTTTGCTATCTCGTCAATAAGTTCGTCATTTATGATGACGATGGTGAACTTTTTTTCTGGCAATTTCTACTGTTATCGAGATTTTAACGAATCACATTAAGAATGAGAGTAATACAATTGGGAACAATTAAATTAATAAGTAAATATATGTAATATTTATAATGTTTGTATGTTTGTAACGGACGATTAAGTATGAGAACATGTTCGTGTATGCAGCATGCATGTGTGTATGTGTGTGTGTGTGTGTGCGTGCGTGTGTGTGTGCGTGACACACTGCAAATAAATTTTTAGAACATTTCTTCACTTGATGTTTGCAGCTGTTTAAAGGTTTTCTTTTGTTATATTTTTTATATATAAAATAAAACAAGCGAGACAAGATTTGAAGAGATGACGTAATCGGAGAATCCATGAACCACGTACATAAAATATCATCCAAAAAATAATAAAAAAAAACAAATATTAATAATAACAAATATGTCAAGAATTAATGAGAAATTCATTAAAAAAAACTTAATTAAATAAAAATCCAATTGAATGGGATGCAAATTAGAAGCAGAGGTTAAAAAAAAGAGCGCGAACTTCTTTAAATTACATTTTAATGGATTGGTTGGTGAGTTTATTATTTCATATATACGCACATATATAACCCAACGTAATACATTAAAGACCTAAAACACATACCCTCAGAATCAAAATTACATTATAAGATTTAAGATACATACACACCTATCTATCTATACGTGTGTGTATGTCTACATTTCTAAGCGGCAAATAAATGAATTACACATTGCTGTGTTTGTTTAAAAGACGCTGTTCAAAATATGACCTATCGTCATTTTTCAGGCATACACAACGCCAGTGTTACATTTTGAATATTAATAACAGCACAAATTGTTGGTCCATATAGGCACGATTACTGTTGGAAAAAGTTGAAAAAATATCTGCTAGCTAACATATAACAAAATTATCTTTATATTTTCTCATCTGCTTAACTCATCAAATTTGAAAAAAGTTTCCATCTCGTGTTTCATATGAAACATTTGATACTATAACTTTTTATTAAATTTATTAACTTTCATTTTTTATAGTCATTATTAAAACATACTACCACATTTGGAATTTAACACTTTTAAAAATCCCATTCTGTGACACCATTTAAAAAATTTATTTACCTAAAAAACTTAAACCATCATACGATTTAATTTGTAAGAGGATTTTATCATTTTAACAATTCCAAACAATTTTTTACGGCTGAAGAAAATTAAAGGGACTCGATGGCAGGACCATGCTTCAAACGAGGAAATCAGACGTAGAACGAACCAACCGCGTGCATCGGAAGTGATCAGGATTCGGAGAATGAAGCAGACAGGTCATGCGCTGCATATGGACGCAAACAGGGCCACCAGAGAAGCCATGAAGTCTCAATGGCCTTCCTTTTGGTCTTTTCTACCAGGAAAAAGATGGGTATATCGTCTAAATGAAGATCTACAACGGGCAGGAATGTCCAAGTGTGGAATGACCAGGAGAAGATCAGGAATGACACGTGAAGAACTGGCAGAGATTAGGGATCGAAGAAAGGATGAGGGAATCAATGGCTGGGTACAGTTGATGGATGAGAAGACATGACAACTTCTACTGACTGCTTAAGTTGAGCAATTTTGTCAGCATGAGTTAATCTGATTGAATGAAGTCAACGTTATTATTTCCGTTCACGACTTCAACATAAATTACATTAAAAGGTAACTTCAAACATGTGTGTCTATGAAATGTGGAGGTGAATCAGTCTGGTCATCATCAGCACTGAGAGTTCTTCTTGAAAAAAATTGCAAATAGATTGGTATATCATTGATAGAATTCTAAATCAATTACAAACTCATTTTCTAGCAGCTTGCTGGGGTCCGGAAGTGAAATAACTTAACATTAATCGACCTCACTAAATATTATAAATGTTGAATGGAAATGAAGCTTGACAATGTTCAACAAATGAAGGGTTTTATTTGTCTGTTTGTTTGTTGAATGTACATGTACAAATTACTTAAACAACCATATATTGTGTTTGTGCTGCACGAGCATGCATTAACTGTTTATAAGTTGTGACTGCCTGTGAATTATATTGTTAGGACTAGCTAACATGTTAGCGTCTGGCATGATTTATATCAACTTCTTTAATAAACAAAGAAATGAATTCAATAGCTGTTTAAAATAAGCAGCAGAACATTCTATGAAGCGGTTTACAACTAAGAATGATAATGTTTATATCAACTTGATAATTGAGTTAGTTATCAATAACTGAACATTAACAAAATAAATTTATTTTCTAGATTACTGATATAAGTTCATTCAATAAGAATGAACTATAAATAATTGCAGAAACATGAAGATCAAACATATTTCTCAAACTTATTATGAACTAAATAATCTCAAAAATTTAATTAAAAACACAATTGAAAAATAACACAAAAATTAAATAAATAAATAAATTAATTAATTAATTAATTAATTACATAGGTGAAGTTAATGACTCAACAACTTAGCCACCACCACAACCACCAAAGTTTGGTGATAAGTTAATCAAATGTACATGAATTAGTCAGAAATCAGATGAGGAGCTAGCTGCACAGAGATCCTATCAAATTGGGGGTACCACACGGCACCCCACTTTGTAAAAAATGATGAAACATGGATCTTAATTGAATCGTAGGGAAGGAAGCTCACAAAACTCATCACTGTTTTAGATTCTATCATGTTTTTTTTTATTAGTAATTGGAAGTTACTAAAAAAAATTAACGTTAGCTTCGTTTTTTTCAGTAATTCAATTTCATAATCAGATTAATACAGTAACGTCCACATAATGTACATGTATACACCGCACATGTATGCGTGTATAGGATGCAAACACGAGCTGGGTGTCTGTATTATATTACAGTTTCAGAAAATTCACCAGCATAAATTGTTGGTGTATCCAAAAACAAGAAAGTAACACGCGTATATAAATTAACATTCAACATTAATTACCTGTTTTTAACCATCTATAGATAGCGTGAAATAAACAAAGCGTATGCATCTATGTATGTATTGTATACATTGTTAATACATTGCCTATATGTTTGTTGCCTTGCCAGTGTATGTTGATGTATGTTGATGTATGTTGATGCTGTATGTTGATGTATGTTGATGCTGTATGTTGAGTTGTATGTTAAGTTGTATGTTGGTGTACATCGTTGCCGCATGCTGTTGTATTTTATATTTGGTTTTATTTGTTTTCTTAACCACGAACAATGCAGTTAAATTTGTTAAAATAACGATAACTTTGAAGTAGAATTGCAAAATAAAATTTCTCTAGTATTACCAACGAATTAACTCACTATAAAAACTAGTCAGGTCTACACTTTATAGAACAAAAAAAAATGTTATATAAACGAACATGATTAATCAATAAAACAAATTGAAAAAAGTTGACGCAACAGATGGCGGGCGTTCGTTCGTATTCAAAATACATAATACGTTGTATTTCAAGCCGTTAATATGTTGGATTTTACGTTGTATTTATTATACGCTGACATACAGACTCTGAAAAACTTATTAATCTGAAAAAGTAAAAATAAAAAATATTTTTTGGAAAAGCGCAATAAAACATGATGTAAGTGTTAAGAGGAACATCATCTGCATCCTCGCCTTGTTTATCTACATCCAGTCAGTTTGAGTAATGGTCTTTATGAAGATCTATCCTACAATGCTTTCTAAAAATTTGTAACTAAAAAAAGCAGCAAACAAAAACAAAATAATTTTTCATCTGAGTTTTACATGTGGCCATATTTAGACCAAATATTTTGTTGAGATTACGTACTGGATAATACATACATATATATATATATATATATATATATATATATACTATATATATATTATACTCTCCATCCAGGATACTTCACGCAAGACGCTTATCAACTACATTTAATTTGGGAGGCCTATCAAACGCTCTACACAAGTTACTTATCAAATAATCACAAGTATTTAAGTAATTTAATCGACCTAATATCCATATAGAAACCAAAAATAACAAATGAATGAACATTTGAAAGCAAACAAACGTCTATAACAAACACACCATGTCCTCATATCTGCCACCTTGCCACAGCACCCAGCAAACGACTAAACAAACATGACAACAAGAACAACATAACAAGAACAAGAATACCCCAACCAAACAAACAACGAACGAAGCACCAACCTGGTTTTCTATGCACTCCAGCCGGCATGACAACCACCTTGGCACCATCCAAGCAGGTTTTCAACTGATCAGGTCCCAAATGACTGGACACTTTGGCGCGTGTTGAACAGTGGGACAAGTCTGCTGCCACACCTGGTACCTGAGGTGGTGAGATGTAGATGGATGTGGAGAGTTGTGGTGAGATGTGGAAAGATATGGTATAATGTGGAGAGACCGACCAAATGCAACAAACTATTTTGACCACGTTTGCTTCACTGACGATGCCAAGATTTTTAGCAGTTGTAAAAACACATCAACAAAACAATTGCAATACTAGTGCAGAAATAGCGCATTTTGTCTCGTGGTTCCAGTTTTATTGCAACAGATTCAAAGACTCGGATGATTGTGTTTAGACCAACGAAATACTTGAACTATAAAGTATTATATGAAATCAACAACTACGAAATAACTGAAAATAAAACCATAAAATTTTTGGGTGTTTTTTGGACCAAAAATTAAACTTCAAGCCACATGTAGACCACCTCTCTAACAAATTAGCATGGGCAATTGGAAAAATGAACAGAGAAAATTCTTATCTCAAGAAAGATGTTTAAACTTACTCTACGACGACATCTGTCTATCCTATGCGATATACTGAAATGTGGTTTGGACAAATGCTTATCAATCGACCACCAATCCATCAAAATGCTGATGAAGAAGGCAATCAGGATTTTCATGCTATACCAATGAGCCATTTATTTATTGCAACTAACAATCTAGAACTCCTTAAATCAAACTTATACATCATTGCTAATTTTGTTTATTTTACAGGTAACTGTCAAATGAGCTTCCTCTCATTTTAAATAACTATTCTTATGATAAATTTATAGATTTTTTTATATTTTTAAAATTTAGTGATTGTGGGTCTGTAATCGCCTATTATAGAAAATTTGGAAAACTTTATCTAATTTATCATATTATAAATATAAGTTTTGCTGAAACAGTATATAAAAAGTTAACTGTCTTTTGTTCTGTTTGGCTACAAATGCTAAAAATAGCTAAAAAAAATATTTATAAATCCGGGTTGAGCAGAGTTATGTGAAAATTGTCTACAATGTAAGAAGATAAACTTCACCAACTTTTACGCAAGGAAAAACCAGAAAATGTTGACTAACCTTTCGGCGGATTTATCAAGTTTCAATGCTAATTTATTGACTCTGATATAATTTATTGTTTATCCGGAAGATGATATTAGCCTACAGAACAGCCATAAAAATAAAGAAAAAAAAGTAATTTCAAGAAAGAAAAAAAGAGATAACCTCTCCCACACATCGTCGATGGTACTAAAGTCACCCAACAAAGGTATGTTTGGTGTTGAAAGGGCTTATGACACCGAGATGTTATTGAGGATATACGAGATGAAAATAACCTTAAAAATGCGTTAAATAATATAAATATGATGGATAGTACAGATAATGCAGAAACTGGGCTACAGCTAGTTGCGATAGACTTCATCAGAGCTAAACAAACAGACGCAAAAAATTCATTCCAAACAAGAAAAAAATTACTAATTGCAGCAGGAGGCAGTGAATACGGTACTGAAGCTGAAGCATCTTTGACTGTAGAGCATCTTAAATTACTACCAAATGATAAAGACCTCAAAGTTATAACAAATGTGAATCGACAAATAATAGCATCCATAGAAACTACGCATCAAACCTTAAAAAACAGGCCAAGCGATACAATGGTTTCAGATAAAATAGACTTTCCGGTAGAAATTGGTGATAACGTAATTATACAATTCCTGATGTCGATAGATCCTAAAAAGATCTACATAATATAGTCGGGGTGATTCTACAGAGGACTATCCGGGATTTCACAAGATTGGAGCAAAATATAGAATGCTCAAAAAACTATATTGCAGATGTGTACCTACGTATTTCTTAAATGTTTTATCCTAAAATTAATACACTATTTAAATGTCATTTACATGTCAGAATTCAACAAGCGAAAAGAAACGTTTTGCATGAAGATGTTCCAAATTAAACTTCACCCTTGAGAACTCTTGCTAAGGGAGAATATTCTTAACAACGTTTCTTTTTAAAAAGTTATGGCTAAGTTAAAAAGGCCAAAGACTAGTTAACTAGTTTGATAACTTTTAATTAATGCCGTCAATAAATATTTTTAAAACCATCTCTGGTTTTCAAACCCAAATCAGTTTCTCGAGTGCTAGTTTTAACACAGAGAATGGCCATGCATCTTTTTAAATTTTCAAATCCTACAGAAGCGTTAACTAATTTTTTTAAAAATTATCATTTCCATTCGTAGTTGAGAAACAGAGCAGCAGGGCAAATGATGCTACTCAACAGATGATCATGTGATGTGATGCTACTCAACTCATTGTTAGGCTTTTGAATCAAATTATTTAAGTTAAGTAATCACATGCCGCGAAAATTTCGTCCAATGACAATGGGAGAGGAAATTAGAAAAACAGAATAGAAAAAGAAAATTTAAAAAAGTGAGAAGAGGAGGAGAAAGAAGAGAGAGTGTGAAAGAGAAAGAAAGTGAGAGAGAGAGAGATAGACAGGCAGGCAGGCAGACAGGCAGACAGACAGACAGACAGACAGACAGACAGACAGACAGACAGACAGACAGACAGATAGATAGATAGATAGATAGATAGATAGATAGACAAATGGATGGATGGATAGATGGATAGACTTATAACATCTAAACATCTACGTAGCATAAAGTAGTCTAATAATGAGATGATGTGCTATCATTACAACAATACAAATCCTTAACAAAGGATGCGAAAAATGAGAAACACTGGAATACATGAAAACATACAAAAAGCACGACAAACTAACCCATGAAACAAATCCACAGGCACACACACACACACACACACACACACACACACACACATACACAGACAGACCGACACAATGCTACTTGTTTGATTACATACGTGTGAATGAATGGATGCTATTAACTAGGCATGATATTAAGTAATAAATATAAACTAAACAATAAGACATTATATTTTATTACGTGTAATTATGAGAGTAGTATCGCGTAAACATCATCACGTGACACCGATCAAACATCAGAAAATATGCCCTATTCCAGTTCACTAAACAACATCAAACCATCTGTCACACAACAAATAGCAAAGTGCAACACACACACACACACACACGAAACAACACAACAACAACTAAACAGCGTCATAACATAAAAACACACAAAAAATCGTTAAAGTGAATCAATACAACGATTCCAACACCACCGTATTAAAACATTATACAGCAGAAACGCCAAAATAACAATATCACACGACAATAAACACAACAACAACAGCAGCAACAGCAACAACATTACAGACAGATACAACTAACCTGAACAATATCATATAGAGCTAGATGTGAGATGTGCGGGTTGATCTTGAGCAGGAGTGACAGGGGCTGTCCAAGTCCCCCCGCTGCACCTAGCACTGCTACTTTCGAATTCGTCTGCAAGTTTTATTTTATGGTGTGGTTGGTTTTTGGAAAAAATAAACCAAAGCAAAAAAACATATTTTTATCACTGTTCAATTTTTATTTATATATTCATATACCTATACCTTTATTTATTTATTAGTAGTGCTTGTTTGCAGCAAAGCTTTTTAATCCTTGCTATAAAATATCAAAATTTAAATAAATCAAGAAAACACGCTGACCGGTCAATATGGTTAATTAATACGGTTTTGTTTGCTCGTTTTTCAAATCATTACTTCAAATCATATAAAATGACCAATAGAATCGTCATTTCACATTTCTTAACATCATCTACTTCAACAGAATGCGAATGGAAACTGCAGCTGATCAGCTGCCAGAGAATTTAGTACCAAATGCTACCAGAGAAGAGAAGGCAAAGAGTTAGTTAGTAGCTTCACTGAGACAACTCAACAACTCCTTCGGAAACGAAACTGAAAAACGTGGTTCCTGTTGAAACGTGTGCAGCTGCGTGCAAGGAGAATGTTGAGTGGTGGATGAGGGACAAGGAGGATTAGAGTTATGAATTCAAAATGCAATTTTAAGCCTGGAAAATTAAATTCTTCTTTCTAAAATTTGCTGACATACCCGCAATGTACAACGTGTAATTAATTCTAAAAAAATTAATAACAAAATATACAGACGAATAAAAGATTTGGTGAGCAATTAAAAACACCGACAAATTAATAAATAAATAAAATAAAATAAACAAACCAATAAACAAATAAACAAATAAATAAACGAATAAAAAGAAGTGAAAAAAAATATGTTTAAGAATTTTCTAGTTGCATGTTGAAGACTGGGCACAACATTTATGTAGCTGCTATTATATTAGCTGCTGTTGGTTTTGTTGTCATGTTAATGTTGTTGTCGCGTTAATGTTGTTGTTGTCACGTTAATGTTGTTGCCTTGTTAATATCATTGACTGATTCAACATTTTTACGTTTGTGGCATGGAGAAAATGAGGCAACATAGTAACATAAACCTCTCCACCTATACAGTCATCATGTCATCATCTCCGTAATCACCAGCTATACCAATTCTTCAGCCCTTTTTAACCACAGTCTTCCATACTATCATCGTCACCATCATCATCTTCTTCATTATCCTCACCATCATCATCACTATCATCATCATCATCATTATCATCACTATCATCATCACTATCACCATCAACATCATCAAGTTAGCTTCGACAAAGTTAATTTTTCAGCAGAATGGTTGAAATGAATGCAATGTGCAAAGTAGCTTTGAACGTTACAGACAAATTGAAAATGACGGTGATGAATGGATTTGTTTGTGGGAAGTGAACGGCAACGTGTTGAAAAAAAATTAATAAAAATATGATAATGTAGTAGTGCTGGTAATTAAGTGACGACAACAACGACGAATTTGTGAAGTCATTTCAAAAGGAAGCGTGATGTTTACGACGATATTTTGTGTATTGCATACAATGAAATGTAATGTAAAGTATACAATGTAATGTAATGTAAAGTATACAATGTAATGTAATGTATACAATGTATGGTAATCTAAAGTAATCAATGTATTGTAATGTAACACATATGAAATGAAATGCAGCATACTGTGATGCAGCGGCATATGACAAGATGACAGTGAAACACACACATACAGATGAGACACTGTGGGCCGCCTAGCCTACCGAGTCGGAATTTTTGAGGGGGCCGAAGTCGAATTTTTAAAGGGGCCGAAGTTGGAATTTTTAAGAGGCCGGAGTCGGAATTTTTAAAGGGTCGGAGTCGGAATTTTTAAGGGGCCGGAGTCGGAATTTTTAAGGGGCCGGAGTCGGATTTTTTTATTTGACTCCGGAAATGGTTATTAATTTTTTTTTTAAATTTTCCATTTTTTTTCGAATTTTTTTTTAAGATTGTGCAATTTAGAGGATAAACATATGCAGTGATAAGAAATCATATTTAATACTGAATAAAATCACATAACTTCTTTCATTAAGTTGTAAAACATAAAAATTAAGTAATTTTACTAAGGAAAACAATTACATTGACTGATTTTAAGCGTTTCTAAAGATATTTACCTATTTAGTGGTGATAAAAAGAGGAAATTACGATGCAAAATTTGAAATTTTTCACTGAAATTCGAAACCCGGAGTTGGGTTTTTTGAGGAGCTGGAGTCGGATTCGGATATTTTGATGTAATGATGACGTAATGATGATGTAATAAGGATCTAATAATGATGTGATGATGACGTAACGAAGATACCATAATGATGAAGTCATAATGATTATGTTAAGATGACGTCATATCATAGAACAATTTAATGACCTGGTCATGACGTCATGGTGGTACTATGACGTCATTAAAAAAAAAACATTGAAAAGAAGTTGTAAGTGTGGAATCATGTAAAATCGTTGTTGCGCTGTGATTTGGGTATGATGATATGTAATCGCGTCATTAGCGTAATTTAACCCAAATTTCATCAACTGCAATCACCAATTTAAATTTAGTTGAAAAAAATACACACACGCCAATCCAAATAAAACTTGTGAAATGGCACGACACGTGAATGATTTATCTACATTGAAATTAATTAACAAACAAGAACTGGTCTAGCGCCATCGGCTGATTAACATCTCATTAACATACGAACGACATCAACAGCCATAATGAAAACATCAAACTTCAGCAGATCACATTAAATAAAAAACCAAAGAAATGACACAAGACAAACATGCAAACAACGACACCAAACAACACCAGATGGCACCACACAACACCAGATGACATTAATTAATCGAACTGCAAGAAAAAACTGGAAATGAAATGAAGAAAAATGGCAATAAAATGGAATGATGCAATGTAGATACCGGACTGAGATGGCAACATAAACAAAAAACAAATGAAAGATACAAAAAATATTGAACCAAAAACTTAATAACAAAATGCTAATGATATAAATGAATGTTTGTTTATAAACGCTTGAGTCATGGAAAAATAATTATGAACCTCCTAGGAAAGGTTCATGGATGCTCATGAAATGAGCAAATATTGAAAAATTGAATGCAGATAAGCACAATCACTGGTTCAATAATAATAACGATAATAAATAATAATAATAATAATAATAATAATAATAACCACACAACAACAATAATGATAACAAATAATATATCGCATAGTGAAAATAATATCACAAAATATCATCAGTTCTCTCTGAACGAATTTTCATCAGAGGTGTCAACAGAAACACACGAACGGAACATGTGATTTGGCGTGTATCGGCCGCTGCATTACACACGTACACAACACACATTGCATGTGATGAGCATCAATCGGGGACGTCTCTGCAGTTGAACCCGGTCAACGCAACAGCAGAGAGCCGGGTGCTTTAACCATTATACTATCCTGCACGCCATCCGAACGCATAACAATCTCACAAACGTGCAAGAGCCAATTGCCAATGAAAACATTATAATAGGTTAGAAAAAGAATTGAGAGTGAGACACTTGAAAGTTCAAGCAGCTCAACATTCTGAGAAGTGATTACCAAGAAGGGAATAACAACATGAAGAGTAATGAGAATAAAAATGTAGTTTCAAAAAAGCGAGCGATATAAATTTAGAATGGTGTTCAAAATTGAATTCAATTCCTAGGTTCAGTGGAATCAACAACCGACAAACATCGTAAAGGATACACGTGTTAAACGACGCACCACGCATGAAGCGTGTGATCTTTTTGTCATATTCGAGTCGAACCCGGTAACTGCACGCACTGTGAAACGGCACCTGGCGACTCTAACCACTAGGCCACCGCGCCGCCCTAATGTTATTGTGTGACATGCTACAATATTAAAAAAACGAAAACAAAATGAAATCCAAATCACATTTGTAATGAAAAAATTAGGCATTAAATGAAGATGCATCTTCTCAACCAGCTCCATTTCATTTTTCATAAAAAACATTTTCATTGAGATGAATTCTCATTGAAACCACCACAAACCATCACTGCAGTAACCATCACTTTAAAACACTTCCCTGAGGATCTTTCCAACTTTTCACCATGCACATCTACATTTTCATTCTGTAACGTATGAACCCAAAGTAAAGTATCAATCATATTGACCACATCAACCACACACTATGATACAATTCCATCGCATATAACATAAGATAACATAACATGGTTTATAGTGGTCCGGTAGACTAGTCATTAGTCTCTGTGTGAGAACCGCTGTTAATTAATTGTCCAAAAATCCTAGTTTTCCCAGCTTGATCTTAAAATTGTTGGTTGATTCCGCGAGAACCGTCTCATCATTCAGCTCACTCCACAACCCTGCTACTGAAAAATCTGCTGCTTGATTTTACCAACTGACTTCTTAAAAAACTTGTATGCATGACCTCGTAGTCCATTCCATGTACATCATATTTTTCATCATGTGATGCCATTTATCATTCCATCCAGCCATCACTTCATTCCCCCATGCCACCCTCGTCACTTCATCACATCATCACTTGCACCTGGCAACACATGCAAACATTAAAGTTTAAAATGAGACGAGCACCCCAATGATAATTAACATGATGCTAACGTACAAGCACATACATGATCAACCACGTATAACATCACAAACAAGATGTCTGCATCGCTAAGCCTTCCTAATGAATTTCTGAGGTGATGCATTTGAAGGAAATGTGCTTGTGCAGTGCACCTGGCAGTAGTGACCTGTTCATGTTACTAATGAATACTTATGCATACAAACACCTGCATACCGACGGACATACTTATTAATAAAGAGAATTCAATACATGTACAAGCAAATATCTGATAGTTTGACTCCACTCACATGACCACAAACTCAAATCAACCTGGGCTCAATGAGAAAATCTGTGAACACACTATTGATATTATTTCAATTTGTCAATTCAGTGGTGATACTGCGTAAACCATCATCTTGTTGTGTGTGTGTGCATGAGTGTGTGTGTGTGTGTGTGTGTGTGTGGGTGGAAAAGAGAGAGCATGTGTAGTAAGAAAAATTATTAGTATGACGGGCCGTAACAACAAACCAAAAATATTCATGTCTGTTATCTCCATCGTGTCAAGATTTGAAGGCAACCCTACCAAGGCATACAAACAAGCAAGAATCTCAGAGATCTGTGAAGAGATTGTGAGACTTGTACTTGCACAAAATTTCCTCCTAACAGATGACGGATAACTTGCATCAATCCGACATGCTTCCTTCCCAAGAAATCATCAATCACTGCTTAGTTTTCCCACCAAGACAAGTGACCAAGTTTCAAAAATTTTAAAGATAGGATTATTTCAATTCATACTCAACTGAGTTTTTGATCATTCAAACATTTCTGCAAAACATTAGTCAAAAATTGTCTTAAGTAAAATTATTTGTTATGTAATGCTTAAATTTTGAATGCACAAGTGCTTAAATTTAATTAGTAATGTGAGTAAATAAATTAAAAGATTTGACAATTTCTAAAAATACATTATTAATAAAAATTTTAAAGACACTTTCTCTTAAAAAAAATTGTTAAACTTTAAATGTTTTAATAATTAATTGCATTTTAATATAAAATTCAAAAGTTATAATTTTTACATCTTTTATTTAAACAACTGAGAAAAATATTAATGAGCAAAAAGTTAATCGACATTAATGAGCAAATTAAACATGTGAGTGATACATTGATTCATTAACAAGGCAAGTTGTTGCCACCAGCACTGAATTAGAAATTAAGAAGGCCTATTAATTGGTTTGATTTTATAGAATATATATAAAAATATATATACCTAAAACACTTTCCAATTAGAGGAAATATACAAAATTTAAATTTATTAACAAAAATCGTCTGAGTAAAAAATAATATTATTTAAAAAATTATAAAAGACATCTCATAAAAAAATTGTTCCACTTTGTTCAACTATTAATTTCTATTTTTTATAGTAGTCATAATTAATCCCCAATATTTATTTATCATTGTCCAACATTTATCAGATCTGTTAGAGCCCTCATATGTCATGCAGGCTCGTTTTTATTTTTAAGTTGCCAAAAAAGTTTAATGAACTACTAAAATCAAATCAAACTAAAATCTAAAATCAATCTGGAATAGCAATACTTTGCTTTAAAACAAAACTTCAAAAAAATGTAATATTATTTTTTAGTAATTTGTTTTGTTAGCAGATATAATAATGATAATAACAAATTTTTATAAATTAAATAATTAATAATGGCGCAAAATTATGATAATCAGATAAATTGACAATGACTGAGCAGTGAAAAAACTAAGTTATCATAGAAATAAAGAGCTGACAACTCAATCTAGAAGATTATTTTAATAGAAAATTGAATTTTGAACAATAAAAAGGCAATTTCCAAGTTTTAAGTTTGCACTTTACCTGCGAAGTTATCGAAAATGACCTCTGGTTGTGATTGAAGTTTAAGATGGCGGGCTGCAGTTTCCTTACCACGGGACTAATTAACTGTTTACCACAATTTAGATTTTTTAATATGAGCGCCATATTTATTTGATTTTTAATAATTTAGAAAAAACTACTTTAAAATTAAGGTCAACAAAACATTAAAAACTCAAACTCCGAATCAGAAATATTTGTTTACTCCTATGTTCACCATAGACTGACTGCATACATACAGCTACAACACAGCACACAGTGAACAGTGCTACTTAGTTTTTTCTATCTACGTATCATATAATATCTACATACTCACGTACGTAATATGTACACACACACGTACATAATATGTACACACGTGTGTACACACACACACCACATTACTTGAAAATAACGCATGCACACGCTTTAACGCTGGTTAGTAAGCCTTGCATTATATTATCACATGGCGGAATATATTGTAAACACATTGAAATGAAATGCATATATGATATGATCATTCGTTCATTCATTCGTTCATTTATTCGTTCATTCATTCGTTCATTCATTAAGTTTAAGACGTATTCGATGTTCTTTAAAATCATTGGATTCGTGTGAACTGTGGAGTATTTTGCGATTGTTTCGTTTCGAACACAACACTGTTTAGGAACATAATGAGATATTTCAATTTCGAATTTTCGTCTGCATACATTCTTCACGAATCATCTTCAATTATAATTTATTATTATGAATGACTGAAACAATGGCGCAACGGCAGTACAACATGTATTTTCGTTTAAGTTTCGGGATAACTTGTTTCGTTTCAATCCAGGTGAACGTCCAAAACGATACACATATACCGGATGAAAATATTTAAATGAATGCTGACAGTTGCAATTGATCTACATACATAAATACACACGTGCATACATACACACATGAATGCATACACATATGCATGCATACATGACATTCATGCATGCATACATGACATACATACATACACCCATACATGCATATTTACATACATATTGATATATAGCTAACAAACAAACATACATGGTTACATACATTCCAACGCATATATACATAAACAAATTTATATAGTAATGTATATATGTGATAGTGTGCTTATATTCGTGTGTGTAAGAAACACTGAATGCATCGCATATACACTAGATAGTTTGCCTGCTTCTATTTTGCATGCAGAGACTTAATAATAATGGAAAGCTGTGATGTTTTGTATTTACCTTTCGGGTTCTAGGGTCATATATGATGCCGCTGAAAATGGAAAACTGAAAAATTAAAGAGACTACAGAGAATAGCCTCAAAATGACGACTGCTTGTACCAAAATATATAAACAAATTAAAACTTAGATTTACCAACAGTACGTACAGAAGAATTAAAAGAAACATGACTATGGAGTAAAATTTGCTAAATATTTATGGGACAAAAAGGTGAACCTGAAAAAACTGATAAAGAGCTGCCGGTAAAAGGATATCACGCTTTTTTGCGTTCTTTTTGTTTCCCCCTTCCTCCCTTGTCCAAACTATCATGAACTTTTAAACACCCCATATCCCCATGTAAAGCAAGTCGCAATGTTTCAATATACTTCATGCAAATTATCAATATCACAAATGATGGTTGACAACAAAAATCAACTACATTTGATAGCGAAGAGTGTAGATAAAAACATGCATAACTTCCTGATTATAATGAAAAAGAAACAAAAAATAAAGCATATAAAGCAATTCAATATTGATTTTATAAACCTTTTTGACAAAAAGTTTCTTACAAAAATTTAATAATTCAGTGATTGATTTTTAAAAAAAAAGCAAAATTTGGATGTCACATAACCTTTATCTTCTCTTACTTTCTTGTCATAAAGTATTACACATTTTTTGATCTCCCTAAATCTCAAAACATGACAATTTTATAAACAGCCCTAATCGTACATCGCGGAAATAGAGCTTTATAAACTAACTGATTGATTGATCAACTTTTAACTTAAAACAGTGTTTTTGTTTGTAAAAATAGAGTTTTAACAAGAATAGTTTCCGGTCCCCTAAATTCACAACTGCATTAAAGCCTTAATTAGTAGTGATGATCTGGCTGAAAAAGGTTTTCTTTTTATCTTTGTCATATTTTTTTAGTTTTCTTCCAGAAAATTTCCATTTTGCAAAATGATCTCTCGACATTTGATCATTTGATACCGTAGAAAAAAGCGTTAAACAATGGGAAACAACCTAGATTTTAAAAAGTTTACTTTCTAGACTTTAATTCTGCATACTTTTTATTTACATTATCATCTTTCGAATTATGTTTTTTAGAAAAGTATTGCAAATCGTATAATACAGCATTATTTGCGACAATTCAGTTAATGCAACTTTAAAGTCGATATTTATTAACTGAATTCTTGGCGCATTTTGTCAAAATTTAATTTTTCAAAGTTTAAAAAAAACTTCTTCATATCTCATATCTGAAAAATATAGAATGTCGCGAACTATACAAAAAAATCCATAATTAAAAAGGCAGAAGAAAGTCACTAGACCACTGCATGATGAACAAGAAAGAAATTGTAAATTGCTTCGTCTGTATAAAGTTTAAAAATTTTTACAACAAAGTCAATAATGTTAAAAAATTGTTGATGAGACAGGTTAACAAAATTGTTTGGTTGTAAAAACTTTGAGCTGACAAAGTTGTTTCATGGTTGTAAAAATGAGTCATCAAAGTTACTTTTAGGCTATAAATACTTTGCTTGCTTCGATTATCAACCATACATTCGATTGATCTGAATTTGAATCAGTAATTCATACGTCGTATTTTTTCAAACGTTGCAATTTGATAAATTTTAGTAATTTTTTTAAATTTGAAAAATGGCACCAAAAAAAATTTGGAGACCGTTCGCAAACTGCCTTCCTGAAGAAAACCGGCCTCTAGCAGTAGTTAATCCGTTTAAAGTTGATGCAACTGACGATGATGGGGATGACAATATAAATCTCACCGATATTATTGGCTATGAGAATGTCTACTAGGACTACAATTCCACCGACAGTCTTGGATTCCATGATGAACATTTTTATTATGACAACAACAACGCACAGGAAAATTATAACATCAGCCACTTTAATATGAACAATAATGTGAATGCTTACGGAAATGGCCAGATCAATCTCATCCACCCGAACGACTATGAAAATGTCGACAACAATATCATCGGCCTAGATGTTGATCAACATTATCATTTTAACAACGCATATTATCACGATGAGAGTAACTTTAGCTATGCTAATGATCACGAAGATGGTGACAATGAATATGATGATGATGATGATGAAGATGATGAAAATAATGGTAACAATGCTTATCATGATAATGATGGTGATTACACTACTGATGAAAGGAATGATGATGATGATGACGAGAACAACTTTAACAATGCTTATAATGATGAATATGATGAGAATAATAATGATGTGATTAACATTAGTATTGATAATAATCATGAAGATGATGACAATGATGATGACATAGACAGTAATGATGAGAATGATGATGATCAATGTTGTTATGATGATAACACTGAAGATGACAAGTCTGATGAGGATGATGATGAAAATGGGTATGGTGAGGATGATGGTGACAATCACGAAAATATCAACAACAATGATGATCACAGTGATGATGCTGATGATGGTGAGAATGATTACACTAATGATGAAAAAGATGATGAGGAAGATGATGAGGAGAATGACGACGATCACAAGGCTGAAGATGACATAGCGAGTAATGATGAGAATGATGATGATCAATGTGAAGATGATGAAGATGAAAATGACGATGATGATGGTGACGATCACGACTACATCAACAACAGTAATGATCAATCAGCAACTGGAACTGGAGTTTCCAATGGACGTAAAAGAAAACGTAGAGAAGAATACTTTCCATTTACAATCATGGGAATAAGGCCACCAAAAATATGGAGGGAGTTTTGAAAAAGTTGGCAAGCACAACGAAAATGATGAATTGAATATTATTTATGTATATATGTGTAAATAACTTTTTGTTTAACCTCTTGAATGAAAACTTTGCAATTATTCAATTATAAAAAGAATTTTTACATTCTCAATTAATAAACTCGATGGCGAAATAATATCAAGCATTTAGGCTGTAGCAGTATACTGTTTTATATATCTTTTGTATTTTTCAAATAATCAACAGGAAAAACTTAATCACGTGGTATCATACTTATCAAATACAAACAAATGACTCACTGTTATATTATGATTTCATTCAATCAATCATCGTCGTTTTTCCAACATGTAATTGTTGTTTATTGTTTAAAAACACTTTTCGACCAAGAGCAGCTCTCATTTTACTGATATTTTCGCTGTTTACGTATCAATAGATTTGTGGAACATTTCAGGATTATTTTGCAAGTTATTTGTTATTTTAAATATGATTTTAACAACCTAAATGTATAAAAACATGTAGCAAGAGGTTGAGACTAAATTGAGAGAATTTTTGTGGGGGCTTGAGCCCAAAAGTCTCTCCCTGACTTTGCTTTGAAAAATTAAATTTTGACAAAATGCGCCAAGAATTTAGTTAATAAATATCGACTTTAAATTAGTAGTATACCGTTTTGTATATCATTAACTTCCCAATCGCATTAATTACTGAATGTATCTTAAGTTTAGATTCTAAACAAATAGTTTAACAATAAACGATTTTTAAATCAAATTATGTGACCCTATTATTTAAGAAAAACAATAATTCATTAATTGTAACTTGTCTAGATAACATGTTAAACACATCATCCAATGATATCAAATTCAAATAAAAATGATTGCGGGTAATTTCATATAAACAACATGCATGTACTTAACAATAATGGAAAGCTGTGATGTTTTGTATTTACCTTTTGGGTTCTAGGGTCATATAAGATGCCGTTGAAAATGGAAAACTAAAAAATTAAAGAGACTACAAAGAATAGCCTCAAAATGACGACTGACTGTACGCAAAATATATAAACAAGTTAAAACTACGATTTACCAACAGTACGTACAGAAGAATTAAAAGAATGGCAATATTTATGACAACATGACAATATTTATGATGCAAAAAGGTGGACCTGAAAAAACTTATAAAAAGCTGCCGGTAAAAGATGTCACGCTTTTTTGCGTTCTTCTTGTTTCCCCACCCCCCCCCCCCCTTGTCCGAACTATAATGAATTATTGAACACCCCAATCCCCATGTAAATATGTCATGTTTCAATATAGTCATGCAAATTATCAATATCACAAATGGCGGTTGATAACAAAAAGCAACCACATTTGATAGGGAAGAGTGTAGATAAACACATTCATAACTTTATTAATATAATGAAAAAGAAACAAAAATAAAGCATATAAAGCAAATCAATATTGATTTCTTCCAAAAAATTTGCCAAATGATCTCTCGACATTTGCTACCTTAGAAAAAACCGTAAAACAATGGGAAACAAACTAGAATTTGAAAAAATTACTTTCTTAACTTATTTTCAAGATGTAATTCTGCATACATTTTATTTACATTATCATCAATTATTTTTTGGAAAAGTACTACAAACAGAACTTGGATTTCAAAAATCGTATAATACAGCATTATTTGCGACAATTCAATTAATGCAAATTTAAAGTCGATCATCATAATACTATTTATATTTTATATAATCAAACCAATTAAAACAAAACATAATTTTTATTATTCGCTATAATTTATTACCCTATTTATAGTCAATTTACTGTAAAAACCGAGAAAATCCATTAAAACTCACTTCGACTCTGTAAAAACAATAAAATATCAAAATTAACAAAGTTCGGTGTGCTGTCTATCAATCTGAAAAAATAATTTAGCGCGTTTTCCCCTGCTCTACCTAAAGTCAAACACATATATATGAAATGATTATATGGTGATATCATTTTCTAGCTATATCCTACTTATAACGACTTTTACCTGCACGATTTATAAATTGTTCAATAAATTATGGCGTATCTGAAAATGTATCAACAATCAATTAAAAATGTTGAAACAAAAATCAAAAGTTTCAATTAACTTTTCTTGTAACAGAAAAGCCAATGTTTTGTAAAAAGTATTGTTTCCGTTCATTGTCGTCAGAACTTGAGGTAACTTTTGGAATTTTCTCAAAAAATTGTTGATCTAAACGACCTCGCTGTCAGTGTAATAATGGCCTCCATCGACTTCTGAATCGACTTTAACCTTGCTGCCGACATCAGGACGACAGGTAGCATTGACAAGAAAAGATTGATTGCTGGAGTAACATGTGCAATAAAATGTATGTTCATTCAAACTTCTGTTCATCCAAATCATCTCACACTCATTTTAATCGGCCTCGCAGTTTTTGGACGAGTCATCATTATGAACCTCAGTTCTCCTCTTCATGTAGGAACAGGGCTGAGTGTTAAAGTCTTCAATCCATTGTTAAAGTCTTCAATCCGTAGAATCACTTGGCGTTGAAATGTAACACCTGACCTTGCCTTTCGTAAACGTTCGAAAGCATTTGAGGAGCAGGTAGTTTGTACCAGTTTGCATGTAGATTTTTATTTTTCTTGTTCACATTTTCTCTAAATTGTCCGACAATTGTAATAATCATTTTATCATTCATACAATTTTATCGACGCTGCAGTGATATGTTGAAAAAATTGTTCTTGTTTCACATAACTTTTAAAGTTATTTTATATTTAATATGTCTAAAATGTTATTGAATTTCAACTGCCCGTGCACGCTTGGGAGGCTCGAAATGATGCTAGAACAAGTGACGCAGTGTTAATTACTCGACCATCGATCACATGATCAACAAAGATTAAAATTTTTATAGTGATAGATTTCATCAGCCTATTAATTTTTTTCAACAGTCTGATAAATTTTATTTTTCGAAGAAATTATTTTTTTTAATCAATTATTCACAACTATTTCCAATTCATTCATGGATTTGAAATGTTATTATAAATTTGTTAACCAAAAAGTTAGAATGAGGTTTTTAAGCAATAAATTTAATGATTGTTAATTTAAAATATTTAAAAAAGCCTAGCGGAAAAATTTCGAATATATTTATTATTATTTTTGAATGTTTCAATTTGTCTATCAAAATGTTCTTGAGGTTTAAAGAGTATTTTGTTGATTTGTATTCTCTAGATTTAGAAAAGTTCAATATGTTAACTGCAGTAATAGCAATTCTGGGACGAAGTGATTTGAAGAGAGCCGATACTGAGCGGTAGTTGCCTCAGATCTGCATAGATCAATACACCAGCACCTGCTAAAATTATCGATTGTATATTGTTAGGTCGTTATGTATAATCATTTAGGAGGGTCTGTGTTAAAACACTCCGGACAAAAACTCTTTGAACGTAAAACCTCTCGGACAAAAACAAAGCTTTAGTCAAATTAAAAACATATGAATTCTTTTATTTGAAATAAAAATAGCAAAAACGGATATCAGCTAACCAACCGTTTATTATATAGAATAATTCGGAAATTTTTGACTCTAATAAAATTGTCAACATGATTGATTTGGTTCGGAATAATTTGGTTCCAAACGTTTGTACCAACACGGAAAGGCTATTGGTTGGAAAAAGTGTGATCTCGTTCGTTCGATGTGGAAAACAGCTGTTTATATTGTCTGATAATTTTTAACAGTGTTTTCGTTTACAATAATCATTAAAACGTAGGTTACATGTTATGCATGATATGTAAACAAAATGGCAATACATGAAAATTTCATTTGCCTAATTGATAAGATGTTTAACTTATTTATTGTTTTAATGTTGAAAATATGTTTGACTTTATTCACATTTTTTGAAAATTTGTTCATTTTTCTTTATAATTTCTAGATCTTTTCAAATATTATAGATTTATTTTCAGACCATGATTTATTATTTTGAAAGGTGAAGCTCAAGAGCTTGATTAAATCTGATTTACTCACAAGAATGTTACCAAAACTTACTTTCAAATCCGTTATACTTTTTGACTTAACATTTTTGAACCAATGATTGCATAGCAAGTTTAGTTCAATCGTAAATGGTCTATTTTAGAAATTTTTCCCAACTTAATTTTAAAAAAATTCGATAGGTTCTTTGAAGTGCACTTTTGCAGTTTTTAATATTCGACGGTTAGTAGTGGTTTTGCGGAAAAAGTTTTTTTTATATTTGTTCTATTTTTAGTTTTTCAGATAATTTCCATTTTGCAAAATAATCTCTCAACATTTGCATACTTTTTCTTTGGAGCACTCCTTAAAGGCTGCCACGCTTTTTTAACATTTTTTTGACCCCCCATGTCACAAACTGTCACAAATCGACCAACCCCCCAATAAACAAGCATGCCACAAAACTTTACCCCCCCCCATCTCTTAGTGAAGATTCATTAAACAATGTAATTGTTCCATGCATTTCATTTTTTATTGAAATCAAAATAACGAATGACAAGTTTATATGACGATAGTTTGATATCTAAATGATTTACCGCAGTTAAAATATAACGAATTAATATGAAAGATCACGAATTGCTTTCCTCCCAAATGCTGGCCAGGTGCTGTGAAACTGAAACCAACGGAATCCATGGGCTTTCTTCTTTTGGTATATTTGGCAACTCAATGTTGGTTGTGTCCACGTCATCTTCATTCAGTCATTCAACATCTTCGTTTTCTTCGAATGCAACTACTCCCATAAGTTCCCTCTGACATCTAGCAGCAACTCTGACTGGTTTAACTGGTTTATTATGCTGAAATAAAGATGTTTTGTGAATTACATGATGCCTTTTTGCCATCACAATTGAAGCATTATATAACCCACATATTTCGCAGATGCGGTTTTTAAAAGAACCTAGAACAGAAAGGCAAAATGCATCATATGGGAGCTGTGAAAACTGGGGCAAGCTGTTTGGAAGGGCTATTTTATTTTTCAACATAAGACTAACAAATAGATTTGGAAAATTAAAAAAAAACGTCACACTTGCGTTTACCCCCTACCCCTTGTTACAAAGTTTTGCAAATATTTTGACCCCCCCCCTTGAAGCGTGACATCTTTTATGGACGGCCCCTATAATGAAATGAATAATAAATAAGATGAAATAATGAAGTAGATAATCAATGAAAATTAAGATTAAAATAATATTATTAAAACAAACTTAAATTTAATAAACGTAATTGTGATACATAAAAGATAATTGAAAAAACTAAAGTATAAGATTAAAATAATATTACTAAAATAAAATAAAATAAATGTAAATGAAATATATAATAAATGATAAAATAATAAGATAGATTGAAATAATATTAATAGACGAAATATAATTAAATAAAATAACATGTAAAGTAAAATTAATATGGTTATCTAGATCGCACTGTCAATCCTGGATATCAACGAAACAGCAGCGTTGGTGATAGGACGACGAGTCAGATGGTCTGTGTTGAATAGGTGCACGTCCTTTGGAGCTGGTTGAAACACGAAACATGGCCGTCCAGGTGGATTAGCATCCGTAATGATAGTCATGTGTTGTGGGATGTCGTGGCGGTACCGTGAATAAAGTCGGAGGCTATGGAGGGTAGTGTTTGTTTATTGTATGCTTACTGTTGTAGATGTACAAGGCTTCTTTGATTTTGAGACGAGTCGGGAATACGGGTATTACTAATATTCTAGTATTGGCATCAAGCATAGCTCTTGTCAGCAGTAAGCCATGAACATCTTGCATATGGTTTTTAATTAATAACACCATTCAGAAGGTGCATTGTAAGTTTTCTGAATAGAGTTGTACGTGTATGCCCAACATAATTTTCCACAACACTGTGTGGTGTAGGACATGTGAAGTTGTTTTTAATTGCGAGGTTAGATGTTCTACACGTTTTATAATAAATGGCAAACTTAAGTTGATGGTCGTCGTTCGACATTTGATTTGACGATATTCCTGAGTTTGAACTTCATCAACTTTATAATTGTCGTGCATTTTGTTTTTTTTAAATATTGATACTCAACTCATGTTTTTGTTGAATAGGTAAAGTTTGTTTAGCGAGTGCCGAAACATCGATTTTGTTAATATATTTGCGGATAATATCGTCAATTAATCTATTGGGATAATTATTGTTGACTAAGAATTGTTTAATGCTGGTCAGTTCATAATTAAATATAGTATTATTTGATAAAATTATATATGCCCGATGTACAAAGTTATAAACAACGTTGTATTTATACTTGTCCTGGCAATCTAAATTATAGTTAAGCGCCTGACCACGTACGGGCAGTGGTGGAGTCAGTACATCATGGACCAATATAGTAAGCAAAGAAATTAAAAAAAAACATTGATGTAATTAACGTTGAAGTCAAGAATGTGCAAAAAAAGTTGAATGATGCGACAGATATCAAGGAGAGAAAAAAAATTTGGTGCTTTTTAGACTTGCTGAAGGAGACGACGACAAAGAACGTGTTATGGAGATTTTTAATCACTTGACTCGAAACGAAGTTGCCAAGAAAGCAGTTGTTAAATTACCGAGACTAGGAAAAAAACAAGAAAAATTAAACAGACCGTTATTGATTAGTCTTGATGGTGTTAAGTCGAAAAACTTAATAATGGATAATTTATCACGAAATCGTTGGATGATGTCCTAAAAGGTGTTTGGCTTAGCCATGACCTATCAAATGATCAGAGAGATAAGTTGAAAAAGTTGATCAATGATGCAAAAAAGCAGGAATCTGTAAGCGGTAATTTTTTATTCAGAGTGAGGGGACCTCCGGGAAGATGGAAAATAGTCAAGTTTCGAAGGGATCAAAAACTGAAAGAAAAAGTTTGATTGAATGAGATGGCACTGATGGTAGCGTTGATGATATTGATTTTGATGGAGTAAACGTTGAAAGTTGTTTTAGATATGCAAATAATAAAAGCTATTATGGTAAGTGTCAATATAAAATCTCAAGTCTTGATGTGTGTGGTGAAGGGGGTTGTAACAATAAAAATGCAATAGGTGAATTTCAGTATGTTGAGGATGATAAAATCAACGAAAGTTTTAATGATGCATCTGGTAAAGGTAAGCCTGCTAAAATTGGAAATGAGTAGCGATCGGTGGTTCTGGAAGTTTTAAATATCAGATCTATAATAACAAAATTCAGCTCTATTTATGGTTTGATTCACGAAGGCCTGGACATCTTTGTTTTGACGGAGAGCTGGCATGGTTCGGCAGATAATATTTCCATTGGGTTATCAATGCCACCTGGCTATCAGTTTGTAAACCGTTTAAGATCGCACGACCCACACCATGGAAGTTTAATCATTTTTTTTCCGATCAATTTTTAGATATAAAAAGATCACTCTGCCACTGGTTACTGCTTTCGAGGTTCTGGCGGTGAAACCTAAAATTAATGAATTAGATTATATCCTACTGGCAATTTACAGACCTGGATCTGAACAACTAACGACATCATTTTTTGATGAACTGATTTCAGTCTTAAAATGTGTTACAATCATTAGTTCCCGTATTTTAATAGCGGGAGATTTTAACATTCAAATGGAGAGGTCGAACAATCCAAACGTTGTTAATTTACGTAAAATATTTGAAATGTTTCAGTTGATCAACCACATAGATGAACCAACGCATATTCTAGAAGGAACGCTCGATCTGATTGTGATGTCACACAATATAGCGGTAGGTGAAGCAAAGGTTTATCCTAGTGGAATCTATTCTAATCATGGTCTGGTACAGGTTAGTTTATCTTGACAAAGTCTCTGAAAGTAAAAAGATTGATCCGACTCTGAAATCGTTTTGATGAGAAAGCTTTCGCTGAGCAGTTACTTGAGTCTCCAGTTTCCAGACCGTGTAAAACGGATGATGTAAATGCAGAATTTGGTTTATTCAGTGACGAGGTAAAGAGAATTGTTGATAGGGTTGTTCCTCTTGTACTGGTGCTGCCTGGGCGCCATCATGTTGCACCGTGGTTTGATGATGATTGCAAGGCTTCAAAACGGAAATCTAAAAAAAAAGAAAGAATTTTTAGAAAAAGTCGTAAATTGTCTGATAAAAATGAATGGATATTGGCCCTTAAAGAAAAAACTGAAATTTATTCAAACAAACGTAAAGTATATTGGAAGAAAGTTGTCAATGAAAACAGTAAAACTCCAAAAAGCTTGTGGAGGGTGGTTAATAAAATTTTTCTAAACAGTTACAGTGAAGACACTAAACGCGAATTCAATGATTTCAATGCTGGCCAGTTCGTGACCTTCTTTAATGAAAAAATTAAAGTGATAAAACAGGGGGGGATTGACACTGAAAATCAATCTTGTCTTAACAGCGATGATTATGGATGTCAGCAGTTGTTTTCGACATTTCGGGCGGTGTCTGAGGGTGATGTCAGGAAAGAAGTGCTTCATTCACCTACAAAGTCCTGTCAACTAAATATTTTACCAACGCGTTTTTTTAAAAACATTTTGAATTGTTTTGTCTATTTATAACTAGTTTGATAAACCTGTGCATGAGGGTAGGTTGCTTCTCCACACCTTGTAAAAATGCAATTGTTGTGCCGTTGTTGAAAAAAAGTAATGCAGATCCAGGTGACGTCAGTAATTATCGACCAGTCAGTAATCTTTCATTTATATCAAAACTCATTGAAAGAATGGTGTCGAGACAATTGCTTGCTCATTTGAATGATAATAATCTCATGCCTGCACATCAATCCGGTTTTAGACGATTTCACTCCACTGAAACTGCCCTGCTACATGTACTCTCAGGGGTTTATGCTGAGATGGATGCTCAAAACATTTCCTTGTTGGCATTTTTGGACATGAACTCGGCTTTCGATTGTGTCAATCATGAAATATTACTTCTCAGGCTGCATCAAAATTTTGGAATATCTGGGGAAATAATAGATTGGCTCAGAAGCTACTTGATTGGCCGAACACAGCAGGTTTCGTTCAACGGGAGTTTGTCCTACGTCAGTGTGGTTCGCTCTGGTGTACCGCAAGGATCTGTTTTGGGTCCTTTATTGTTTCTGCTTTATGCATCTGATGTGCTGAAGATAATTGATTCATATGATTTTAAAAGCCATGCATATGCAGACGACATTCAAATTATGTTATCAAGTAAACCGAAGTTATTTCAAGACGAGATTACGAGATTCATTGAATGTATGTCGGAGGTTAATCTGTGGATGTCGAGAAATGAATTGAAGCTTAACCAGGATAAAACAAAATTTCTTCCTATTGGTACCTGGCAGCAGTTGGCAGACTTGGATATAAATTCAGTTGTTATGAATGATAAAAAAATAGATTTCCGTAAAGCAGTGTCGAATCTAGGTTATATAATTGATTCAAACCTAACAATAAAATCTCATTTTAAAATGATCTCTATATCATGCTTGGCACAGATTAGAAGAATGAAACAAATTCGAGAATCACTTGATAAAGACGCAATGCAGACTCTGGCGCACGCGTTGGTGCACTCACGTGTCGATTATTGCAATAGTTTATTTTATGGACTTCCGGCTAGATCCATCAAAATTCTGCAATCGATACAAAACCATACTGCCTGGATTGTGCCTGGATGTCGATGGTATGATCATGCCACACCGATCCTGAAAAATTTGCATTGGATGCCCATAAATAAAAGAATTGTTTTTAAAATCTCTGTCACAGTTTTCAAATCAATAAATGGTCTGGCTTCAAAATATTTATCAGATAAACGGAAATTAAAAACGTCGATCGCATCTGGTGTGCGTCTGAGGTCTGACGATTCGAACATTCTTGTGGTTCCTCATAGACAGCTAAAGGTTGGATCGCGTGATTTTGCTGTGTCAGGGCCCTGTCGTATGGAACGGCTTGCCGTCAACCCTCAGAATGCCTGGAATGAACAATGCTGAATTTAAAAGACAATTAAAGACATACCTTTTTTTATTATAGTTCATCTTTTTTCATTCTTGCTATTTTGTTATTAATATTAGTTATAATTTGATAACGTTTGTGAAAACTGCTATAACGAACGCTATATTAGGTTTTCTCTTAATAAAAAAAAATAATATAAATATATATATATACATATATATGTTTATGTACATATGTGTTTGTATGTGTGTTTGAGTTGAATTGTGTGTGTGTGTGTGTGTATGTGTGTGTGTGTGTGTGTGTGTGTGTGTGTGTGTGTGTGTGTGTGTGTGTGTGTGTGAGTGGCTTGTTTGTACGATTAATAATATTCTTTAAATACATTCACTAAAATGCTTTCGACGCTTTCAATATTTAGTTATGGTAAACGTTCTGAACTCCATCCACAATTTATTTTTTTTTTCTGTGCTTCCTTATTTTGTAGAATTAAAATTGTTATGATTATCTGTTACTTAAAAATAATTGCATACACAAAATTGCTCAATACATAATATATTCTCATTTTTTCAAACGCAAAAGATGTGGTACTAATTATTTCATCCACATCTAAATATATCACACGCATTTCAAGGTCGAGTTGTATACCGTGGCATACATTTATGAAATGATTTCGTAACAAATGGTATAAAAATAAAAATAATGTATCGGGCACTTTCTATGTAGTTTACGAATTTTCAATTCATTTTTAAATGTCAAAAGCGTTTTTAACGCAAAACACCACATATATGAATATATTTATTAAATTTATGACAGTGAAAATAAATTCAACGCAATAACGTCTGCAACTTGGACCCGCACTTCGACTTGTTAATTTAATAAGGCAGTCAGGCTATAAGTTAAAGTTACATTGCAAATTGTTTCAAAAGTTAGTGGTGATTAGAATTTATCAATGTAAATATTAAAAAAACGATAACACTAAATATGTTTTTCAGATGACCAAATTATTTCAATTCATATACGTCGGTGCATTTATATGCGGTCTAGGACGCAGCGATATAACAAGTTGTGATCCATATTCGTATTGTTAGTTTTTAGTGAACATTTATTTTAAAGGCATTGAAACATTTGCGTTGTCATCAAACTTTTAGGCGAAGGAACGAAATTTCCCAACAAAGTACCACTGGCAGCTCGGTTAATAAACTGTGATCTGGTACCGGACCCTAGGGATAGATGCTGTCTTCCCCAGGCTAAACATGTCGTTTGTTATGGAATAACGTGAGTTTTGTTCTTTCACGCTATTCTCTGCATAAATTAACAAATATTATTAAAACTACAAAGAGTTGACGGACAGTACCTGAGCTATGATGTAGAGAGCTACCCGAAAACCACAGATTTCAGCGCTTTGTGCGCAGCGATGGCACGATCTCAGGGCCACACGCCTGGCAAACACAGCAGTGTAAGTGTTTTTACAACTTCCTTATAAAAACTATATAAAAAAATTCAACCGTTACTGTTTAATTTGGTAGGCTATCTTAGCGAATGGAGGAGGAGATCTTGTCTGGAGGTATGGAGAATGGGCAGAAGTCCAGTCTGGAGAACAACGCATCAAAAATCTTGCCTGTGAAATTGTTTGACCATCATAATTTTATTGACAATGTCAGTTTTATAAACGTTCGATTTTAAAATCTAATCAACAAATATTTTTAAATACTTAGATATATAAAAGTATATTGTAAGATTTTTGCAGGGTTATAATGCGAATATTTAACATTTAGACATTAAATGTTAACATTGTTAGATGGGAATGTTTAAACGATAATATCATCATTGACTCTGAAAAACTCCTTCGCTACTGAGACTCAGATTTTAAGACGTGGATAAAAATGATACTGGTAATTATTTATGTTTGCATTTGCCTCAAACTTTCAAATTCAACTGTCATTACATTATTTTAGCCCACATTTTGATCTAATTTTATGAAAAATTGAATCATGTATGCCTATGGTCCTTCTCTGTGTCAATGCATTTCGGTTTACGTGCATAGGCGAAAACTTTTACAAAATACAAAAAGTAAAAAAATGGAATGATAATGATAATTTTTTTAAATAAATAAGTAAAATATTTTTGGATTGTTGATGCTGCTGAATAAATAAGTCGGAAAATGTTTACATTTATAACTAACTCTAAAAGTATATGAATTAAACTAGTTGAAAATTGTTAAGTTTGCGGGGTAAGAATTTTGACTACAATGATTTTGTACTAGATTAGAAAAACATTTGGATAATTCTTATTTCAAGTTAGACAACGTGATTAAATTAAGCCAATTAATACCCATCACCTGAGTCCCTTGCCATGTTACTTATATTATTTACTTAATCAAATATATTCAATTTTGTCCTATTTGTCTAATTTTTATGACTAAAAAATACGTATATGCATGACAATTAACTGTTTCCTGAGTTTAAGTATATATTAAGTAAACATATATATATATATCATATATTGTTAGATTATATATCATATATGTCTATATATCATATAGACAATGATATATATATATATCATATGATGATTCATTTGGAATCGAAATATGGCTTTATTTGGAGCATAAATTCGGAAAATAAGTTTATTTTGAATTTTAATAAACTAAACGTTTTCCAAATAACTTTAGTGAGAAAAAACGAACTACAAACATATTAACGCCAAACATTCGGTAGAATTTAAAGAATATTTTATATTATATGTAAATTATATTTCATATAATTATCTATGTATTTCTATTCTGTTCTTGTAAATTAGGTTTCATTACTTTGGTATCATCTTATATATAAATGCAAATAGCACGTGGTCATATTTTATTATTGCACGTGGTAATACTTTATTATTGTTGGCTTTGTAAACGATCCTGGAATTTAATTTTTCTATTTTAGGTTGGTTATTCATTTATAATTTCTGTAATATTTCATATTGTTTCAATTGATTTTATTTATGTTCTTTATTCACTCATTTGGATTTTCTATTTTAGATTAATAAATCAGGTTATTCGAAAGCAAACTTATAAATTAAATTCCAAAAAAAGAAGATGGCTTCAATAACCAGTAAGTTGTATTTTCATATTATTAAAAGAAATAATGACGAATTTGAATTAGCGGGCATATCGGAAAATGAAGAAACATGGTATGTCTTACCTGAAGAGATGAAAGATTTAAGTTTGCACGAAGCTCTATCTACGAAGCGAGCAATAATAAATACAATTAATTATATCAAACCTATCAACGGTTATCGCAAAATTTGCATCAAACTCGATGATGAATTGAGAAAAGATTATTACGACGAAGACGAAAATCTATGTTTTTTAGATAATATGTTAGAAGAAAAAATTATTGATAATAAACATAGAAATGAACCAGATGACAATTTTTTAAATGAACAAATTAAGGAATTAGAAGCTAAGCTAAGTCTGAATGATAACTTTAAGCTGCAAGACGTTGAAAAAAAATTTATTCTGGAAAAATTCAACAAAAAGCAAAACCCTACTGAATGGATAGAGAAATTTGAAAATGAATGTAGAAGGCATAAAATACTGAATCCTACTAATGTCATAGAAGCATTACGCTTTTTTTTATCTGGGTCACCGGAAGATTGGTACGAATCAAATTTAAAAAAGATCGGCTTAACTAATTGGTCAGAATGGAGAAAGTCCTTTCTGACCATTTTTGCAGATAGAGGTTGGAAAAAAATAAGAACCGCATATAATTACAAATATTTAGGTGGTTCTTTAATAGACTATGTCTTAGCGAAGGAAAACCTATGTTTGAAATTGAAATGTCGAGAATAAACATGATCGTTATGGGCCTTCCTGTAGAAATACAAAACCAGCTTGATAAAGAAGAAATAACGACCATTGAGAAACTGTTCAAAGAACTAACAAAAATTGATGAAAATGTTTCTAACATCAAGCCAAAATATGACAATAAATTTTTAAGTAATGAAATATCATACAATACGGACGTCAAGACAAAGCAACTTTATCAACACAAACAGAGATATGAAAATGTAGACAAAGAAATTTCGGTACCAAAATACAAAGTAGAAGCAAAGACACATAACACTCTAAATAAACAAAATCAAAGACATGAAAATAACGCTCTAAATAAAGAAAATTTTGTTAGACCAAATTTTAAGAAGAATATTAATACCACAGCAAATAAACCATGTTTTATGTGTGAAGAATTGGGCTGGAAAAATCGATATCATCCAACAAATGAATGTAGAAATAAGACTCTTTACTCATCAAAAAGATAAATTAATATTCATGACACTAACTACCAAACAGATGACGAAGCACATATGATGAAAATTGAAATTGACAAGAAATCTTTAAACTAGAAAGCCCGGGAAAATTGAATGCACTGATAAGAGTAAACGTAATAATCGATAATAAATTAAAAGTTAAAGCGGTTTATGATAGTGGATCAAATATAAGTCTAATAAATAGGAAAATCATAGATATTTTAAAACTAGGCCTAATGAATAATAAAAGTACAAAACCATCAGTGGGCTCAATTTTAGTTCGGCCCGGGCAAATATAGTTGTTAAGGTTGGTAATTTAACGGATAATTTAAATACATACGTAGTCAAAAATAATAATTTTTCCTATAACCTATTACTGGGTCTAGATGCAATAAAAAAGTTCAAACTAATTCAAGATGAAAATTTTAACATTCTACAAAGAATTAATAAAAACAAGATCATCAAAATAGAAGAAAGATAAGATGAATAACAATCACAACATGGTTAAATCATATGAACTGACTGACAACCAATTTTATCTACAAAAGGCAGAAAAAAATAATTTAATTAAAATTTCAGAAGTCAATTTTAATGAAAATATGAATAAGACAATGTGTGAAAATTTTGACTACATTGAAGATGAAAATAGAAGAAAAGATATTTTAAATTTAATAAACAAGTACAAACATATGTTTGCAAAAGATAAATATGATGTAGGAAAAGTGAAGTCGAAAGAAGCAGAAATAAAATTAACCAGAGATGAATATGTAACAGCAAGACCATATAAATGTTCCATAGTTGATGAAGAGGAACTCAAGTCAAGAAGTTATTAGAAGCTGATTTAATTGAAGAATCAGAATCCCCTTATGCCTCGCCAGTAACTCTTGCTTTTAAAAAAGATGATGGTCGTCGGACAAGACTTTGCATTGATTTCAGACAATTAAATAAATTAGTAGTTCCTGAATGCTATCCATTCCCTACTATTAATGATGTCATAGATAAAGTACCAAATTGCAAATATTTCACTGTACTTGATATAAATTCTGCGTTTTGGTGTATATTATTAAAAAAGGAAGAGAGAGAAAAGACTTCATTTATCACTAAGTATGGAAAATTCATGTTTAAGGTTTTACTCTTTGGTCTTAAAAATTCTCCAGCAATTTTTCAACGTATTCTATCCAATATCATAAGAAGAAATAATCTGGACAATTTTTGCATTAACTATATTGATGACATACTTATATTTTCACGCTCTTGGGAAGAACACATTATTCATATTGAAGAGACCCTACAAATTATCACAGAAGAAGGTTTTAAATTAAAATTAGAAAAATGTAAGTTCGCTGCTAAAACCATTAAATATCTTGGACATTTTATTCAAGAAAATAAAGTAGCACCAGCTCAAGAAAAT